AGTGTGCGCAGATGTTATAGGACCACATACACACGTCCACTTTGGAGACCAGGAACTCATTTGACCTTTTCCGGCCGTGACATAATGTCGTCTGGCTCACATTTCTTGCCAATATATCATTAAGGAAATGGGTGCACAATGCACAAGTCTGACTCGTAGACTATGCGATAGTGGGGTTGCCAAAATTGTGCCTTCTCGTCTGTGTATCCGTGTGTTCCCTCGAGACGTGTAAATGCCGTACCCCCCTCCCCTCTCCCCCCCCCTTCCCCTCCCCCCCCCCATTTCTCACTTCGTTTAGGAGGCGGGCTGCTCGATCCTGTACGCCAGGGCAAGCCCAATGGGCGAAGGATGAGACGAACAACCATATTGAACGAGATAATCGATAAAAGATCATGTCAATGTGCAAACTGAACTCATGTCTTTTGTGAGTAGGGTAAAAAACCCTGACCATCAATCCAGTTCCACGAACGACAGATATGTCCACAGCATGTGATAAATTGTCGTCTTACGGAAGAACTTGTCAGAAGTGTTTGTTACAGCATGTGAAAAGACCTAGATAACTCAATTGAGACAAAAAGGTAGGCCCTATTATAAAATTTTAGTTAAAATTATGGGGAACTCACGAAAAACATGTTAACAAAGTGGTTTAAGCCATATTTAGATTAATATCCTCGAGTATAAAAACATTTTGAAAGGGTGTTAGTTAATTCAATAACAACTGCGGACTTTTTTGGGGAGGGTGTCTTTTTTTGGTTGTTGAGGGTTTTTTTAGGGGGGGGGGGGGGGGGGTTGCTGCGGGTTTTTGGGGGGTTTTTTTGCTGTTGAGTTGGTTTTTTTGCTTTGGTTCGGGGGGGGGGGGGGGTCATAAGGGTGTGGGAGCTTTTGTTATGTTTCCTCTATAAATTTGGCTTCTTGCTTTTGTTTTTCTCACCAGTGGCAAACATTGGACCTTTCCATCGGTCAGGATTTGCCTGCTGATTTGAACAAAGAAGAGAGAAGGAGAAAAAAAGGGTGAACTTGTACGAGTCGACCCTATCAACACTATTAGGTTATTTAAGGGGCGGGACCTCCTAGTTCAACGTCCGTCTCCGATAGGGCCGGAGAGGAGGAGAGTAATAAGAAGGCGCACACAGTGTACCAAACTGACACAGTCGTTAACGCTGTCTTGTGTATTACGTCAAGTTTGCCAGTGTGGGTGGTTGGCGGACGCCCTGGTTTTTGTTTGCTCCTTCTTTGATGTAAAAGATCTATTGTCCTCAGTTACTGTCTAATAACTTCTCTAATCTTTGGCATTTATATGAACTAAATTACGTTCCAAGAACTGTTAAACCTTTAACTAAAACTAACACTGGGATTAACAGATAGTGTATAGTCATGCATCTCTCTCATTCGAAGACGCACAGGTTCAAATTAACTCTTTTCCTGCAGATTATTCCATCCAGGCAGTCAAATACCTTATGAAAGGGATTTTGATTCTGCCTTTAAGCAGTTAGGATAGCGTGTTAACTTTCGTCTGACCGCGGTTAAAACAATGTGAAATAAAATCGTTCCATCTGATCTTTTCAGATCTTTGCATAGGGGTCTAAAAGTTGGAAGATCAACATAATATAAAAGCCCATTTATAAAGGTCACTGCAAACAAAGATCTCGGTACTTAAAGCAGATATAAATAAAAGGAGATTCACAGCATACACCTAAAACATATTAACAGCATACACCTAAAACATTACAAAATTTACTAGATTTCCCCAACACCACCACCCTTTAACGCACACCATGAAATACGGTCCAAAGACGGAATGAGCACTTTTTGAGACATCTTGACAACCGTTGGGTGTAATCTACAAGCTTACACTGAAATGTGGGATCACGGTTGTGTCGTTGTCTCAAATGAGCTATTTATTTGCAAGGTTACAGTAAATAATTTATTTTATTATTATTTTATTATTACATGATCAAGATTTTTTTTAAAATATTTTTGTTTGGTCGCTGGCTTGCAAAAGTGCCTTGCAAAGTTTCGAGGGCAAATGTAAATTAATAAATGAATGAGTTTGAATTTTTTTTTAACGCGCACAGACGAAAGTGGTCAAGCAAATTTGACAATTCACGCCACTGCTTTGTCCCTCACATACTTGAAGTCCATGAGCTCCATTCATGTATCACTTCTCCTTTAATTTATCACTGGAGGAAAATAACGAATTTCGTGAAAAGTAGAAAAATGGAAAAAATGACAAGTCAAGAAACAATGAAAGTATACAGTTGGCTCTTTCATTACAAATGAACCCATGCCCAGAACGTTTTTACTGTGCGTTTCTGAACATATTTTATCAAACCGAACAGACTGAAGAAAAAGACTGGCTGTTGGGTTGCTATGGGGAAAATAGTCAGTATACCAATACTGATATCGAAAGGTTCCATAAAAACCATGCTTTCACATGATTCTACTACTTTTGTTCTGCTTTGAGATTTGTTTGTTTTTTGTTTGTTGGTTGGTTGTTGTTGTTGTTTTTTGTGTGTTTTTTGTGTGGGGGTGTTTTTGCTTTGTTTTGTTTTGTTTAGTTTGATGTTTGTACTTTAGTAAGAGTTTTACGGTACTTGCAATACATTAAATTAAAAGTGCCGATGATTAGAGGAGTTACAGGAGAGTAACAAAGACAAAAAGGAAAGACAGACAAGGGCTACAGTTGATGTTTGTTAGAAAAGAAGGAACAAACTACACCAGAGCACCTACCCCAACAACAACAACAACAACAACAACAACAATAACAACAACAACAACAAAACACCCCCCCCCCACAAAGAAAAAAATTGTTCTACAACAAAAAGCCCAGAGGAGACAAATAGCTTTCCATCTATTTTTATTTCATTTCAAATGAAGTCCTGGAGCCACGTTCGACTTGTATAGGTTGCATTTTATACACAATCGTCTCAGAAGACACATTCACAATAATATGAATCTTCTCTCAATAGATGTAGCACTTTATATTACCTATATGCACTATAGAGCTGTAGCCGTTAGTAATCAGAATTCTTAATCGGTCTCTAATTTATCTCAAGGTTGAAAGGTTGCCCAGAAATGTAATTCGAAGCTTTGTTCCGATTATAATAACAATGAGTCCATATAAGATATCGCCACTCTGCTTAAGAACATCTGATAAGTCTAGAAGACACAGACATAGTATGAATACATGGACCAGAAAGACACAGACAGAGACATAGATGCGGAGATAGGTGGAAAAAAATTCGAAAATGGAAGAAGAAAGGGAACAAGAAAGAGAGAGAGAGAGAGAGAGAGAGAGAGAGAGAGAGAGAGAGAGAGAGAGAGAGAGAGAGAGAGAGAGAGAGGGGGAGGGGAAAGGGGAAGAGAGAGACAGACAGAGAGAAAGTCCGGGTAGGCGGGGTCCAAATATCCAGTCTGATATATTCGCTTTAAAGCACAAGGGGGCTATCCCGTAAAATGATGTTTTGAGAAAATGAAAGGTAAAGTTTTTGGACCCTTATTCAGTTTCTTTAAAAGACAAGAATAGTATTCTCAATAACCAAACAAATATACACACCAAAGAAATAGGTAGGACAATACTCACTTTTGGTGTAGGTCAAGGTTTCTGGAAATCCTCGAAATCTGGGTTAGCCCGCTTGTCCTTAAAAGCGACCACACTATTATGAGCTAAGTTTTGCCGAATGGGGAGTAAAACATCTACAATTACTTGTACATTGGTTTTTGTTTTTGTTATGTTTTTGTTTTTTGTGTGGTTTTTTTCCGTACGTGTTTGACAGATGAAAGTGTGGCGTCGGTAGCCTAATGGTCAGGCTACCCGACCCATAATTGTGAGGTTGGTGGTGAAGGGTTTCGAGTCTCAGCTCAGTCCGACGTTGCTTGTCCTTGGGAAAGGCATTTTACACCAATTTCCAATTTGGCTCGTCCCTTTCAGAGAAGAACGTTACACTAGGAGGCCCCGCCTCTTAAATAACCTAATAGTGTTGATAGAGGCGTTAAACCTATACCATTTAATCTCTTAATCGGCTGCTTGCACTGCATGCTTTCCGAATTTAACTTCACACCTCATATTAAAGGCAATATCTTGATTAATACGTATCAAATCCGGCTGAAATTTTCAGATAAGACAATGAATAATTTTTTACAGTCAGGGAAACACATGGAAAGCAAAGTTAAGAATGTTTTTAATCTTCAGTTTTGAACTTACTAAGGGGTCAAAATAGAAAGTGACAGCTTTCAGTAGCGAGTTGTGACATCTGGCGTTGTTCACATCTTCACACCGCCGACGCATGGACTGGATGAGTCGGGTTTCTGTCAGTTGAAGGTTGTTACTCCACTCTTGAAATAAAGGCATGTTCTAACTGACCAAGGGTCCGAGGCAGGCGTGGTCTAGCATGATTGGCTCGATCTATAAAGTCCAGCAAGTGCTCATTTGGACTGAGATTTGGTGTGTGTGTGTGTGTGTGTGTGTGTGTGTGTGTGTGTGTGTGTGTGTGTGTGTGTGTGTGTGTGTGTGTGTGTGGGTAATGGGTACTAGAGATGAATGATGTTAGTTATGAGAAATTAATGTATCACAGCAGCATCATGGGCAGATGCATTATAATGCATGGATACTTG